GGGTAATTTCAGTTGTCGAAGCCTCTTATCCAAGAGGGTTACTGACCAGAAGAGTATCACAAAGGTTACCTATCTCCGTCTCACCGAAGAGCCTCTGCATGTGTGGACAAAAATATGCACGCGTTCGACTGAAACTTCACGTCACGCCAGCCTCTGTGCTCAATCTCCTCACCAGTCGATCTTATTTGAACTTACTGCTGGTATGACAGAGGCAAGAAAATTAAGATTGTTTCGGCTCGGCTTCCCAACAACTACCACGCACCCTCTTACACCTTTACGACGCTCTGACGGCCGTGACTTGGAAGGTCACCAACCACTGGATAACCTGGTCCTACTCGGGGATGAAGGTCAAGTCTCACCTCCTCCATCCTGATCTGGCTTTTATGGCACTCACACTTATGTTCTGTATAAGACCCCCCAGCGGAGACTGGTTTGCGTGCACTCAGTGACAAGCACGCGCACGTAGCACACGCAGACGTGGCTTCAGCCCTGCCAGTCACTCTGACCGTACCCACCTTCAGTGGTCTGGACCTTGTCTTGCTGCTGGGACATGACGGATGTGGGAAGAAATGGGGGTAGAAGCAGCGCAAGTCTGTGTGAGGGAATAGGACCCGATGCGAGTTGCCGCTGAGCCCTCCCTTCTCTGTATGTGAACTCACTGTTAACATCGAGTGCCAGCGGGAAAGTTCAGCTGGCCAACCTTTGGAACTTTAAGAGTACATGAAAATATTACAGGAGGTGCCGCCAATCGTCAGGGACATGCTATAATGAGTTCTTAATGCCAACGACGTCCCTCCAACGGCCTTACTGCCAAAGCCTGTGGCCGCTTCTTTGGTTCTGTTGGTCCATATATTTCACTCCTATCATGTGAATGCGGGAATGTACACTACAAATTTCGATCACTCAAACGGTCTACCACTTCTGCATGCAGCAACGGGGTCTTTTTGATGACGCTGTCTCGGTTACCCCACACTACGATTTGCAGATTCATCAGAACTCGGTCTTCTGATCGCCAAACTGGGATAGGAAGCAAGGTTTTAAAATTTTGGTAAGCGCTTTTCTTTCCTGTTTTCAGCGGAACGTCCTATAGTTGTTGTGCTTAATGGGTGTGGGCGCAGTGGCTGAGGAAGCTGAATCCCCTCCCACTCGTGTCCATACATGCTGGTTCTGCCGTGTATGGTAGACAGACTACAGATTGGTTCTCGTCTTCCTCAACGTGGAGTATTGTCGTGTAGGCCGCACCAAGTGAGGCTTACTAATGCTTCCCGTCTGCTCGGGCAGCGACATTTTTGGCCGTTTTGACACGACCACACTGATATCTCTTGCATTTCCCACTTTCTCGGTTTCGTAGTTTCATTCCAGACCTACGGCAGCTACCACTCTTCATGTTGCGTCTGGTGCAAGATGTCAACTGGAACGAGGAGGCGTCCTGCTTCGAGGGCATATGTCGCCTGACTGCTGACTTTTACGCGCGCCGCACAGAAGACTCGCGCAAATCAGATGTTAAGAAGGATTCGGAGGAAGTCGATGCCCTCTTTGCCTCCGACGATGAATTGACAGCCCTTGAGGACGAGAAAGAGAATACCGCTTTACCACCGACATCGGAATGTCGACGTTTAAAGCTACCCTGGCAGTGGACTGTAGAGCACGTTTTAATACCGGCTTTCAGAACAGTGCTTCTGCCCGCCCACAGTCTCTGTTTTTGCGAGGGTTCAGCCACTTCACCGGCTCTACTTAAACTTACTTCACTCAACGATCTCTATAAGGTATTTGAACGCTGCTGAAGATCTTGTTTTTTGCTGTATTTTGCGTATGATCGAAATAAATTTGTTCAGCCTACTTGTTTTGTTTCCGATGTGGACTACGGCAAGAACTGCGCGCCTAGATTCTGTTAACTAGTGATAAACTAACCGGTACTTGGTATGATAGACTTTAATGGAGGTCAGTTTGGATAGTGTAAGATATCTTTGGCGAAATCCCCGCAACCTCTGGTACTGCCAGCTGACGACCGTCTGTGAAGCCCTTAAATTTGAGTCCCAATGCGAAACCAGACAGGTGTGTTCCCTCTTGCATTCCCATCTGCGGAACGCGATTTTCATCTGACCATCTACCAGGTCTAAAACAGCACGTAGAAGACCACGGAAATCGTATAATTTTCGAGCGCCGATGAAACCTTTCAAGATGACTGTTCGCTGTTCGGTTCTCACTGGCTACTATTCCAAACTAAGGGACTATAGAAAGATATATATCGACTCACTCAGCAGGTAAGTCAACCGACTGGACGAATCAAAATTATACCAGAGTTAACCCACCCTTCCAAAGCTAGTGTGACATATAGCCTTTTAGTGTTTCTGAGCAACCCAGTTGGCACACGCGACACATGGACTCAGTAATCTGTTCAGTTGATAGTCTGATCATCGTGTCCGATGATGTCCACCGTGTGCTCAACAGCAAGGTGAGAGCAGGCACAGTGACTTCCGCGTGAGTTAGTTTACTGTGATATTGGACTTGCGCAACATCTACCACACTCCCTCTTAATTCTCCAACTGGTTCCAGTGTCATGACAAAGTCGAGAAGACCGGAGACGGGGGGAAGCTTCAGGTGACTCGCGCGCCATAAACCCGCATCTAGGCGTACTACCTCACCCTCTGGTTCACAGCGTACGCTGACCAGAATTTTCCATAGCAGAAAAGGAGGGGGCTGTTCGGATCCCACGGATTGGAGGTGCCACTTTTTTTAACTCCACTTGTAGGTTTTATTAGTGACTGACAAGGGTCGAAAGCGCTGCCCTGGTTCCAGACAGGCGAAAGAAGGCATGTGTAGTACGGGGATCGTGATAGTAGGGGTTTTACGGGTGGAACAGTAAGAAAGCAATGAAAATGGCGGTCGGTGATGCTGTTTAGCAGAAGATTAACCCAAAAATCACAGTAGTTGTTTAAGTGAATACAAAAATCGTAATAGAACGGCCGCGCAGTTCAAAAGAATACCAAATGTAACTTAAAAAACAAGGGACGCCTAAAAAGGGCATAATTGGACGGTCAGGGTCAGTGAAACTGGACCGAGTAATTCAATGACTAATGGGAATGAAGTGGGGACGCAAGTGTCGTAGAGGGTGAGTGCCAGATGAGGGTAGTAAACAGTCGATCAACAAAGAACGCGAAAACTGCGATAGAAAGGTAAGGGGAGGTTCAAGTCGCCAAGAGGTAATGGAAATAGTGGTAAAACCTAAGCAACTTTATCGAGAGGGATGAAAAGTAAAGCCTTAAGATATGAAATTCCATCAAAAATGACAATAATCTTGTGAAAATGTTAGAAAAGGCACGCTGTGTTCTGAAAACGTGGGGGATTATTTAACAGTGGTCAATAGGCCCTAATTATTGCGCCTTTTGTGTTGTAGAACAGAAGCCACTGCAGGAAATAGAGGGCCGCAAATATAAAGAAGCACAAGGGACGATGAATTTAAACGAATTTGCGATTCGACTGAGATCATTCCTTATCTTTCGCTGCAGGAGGGCAGTGCGGCTGCTGAAATTCAAGCAACACACCGATGGTTTCACCTTCAGTGCAATATGTGTGGAATAAGAGGAGCACTAAGGAGAGGGACCATATTAGAATGAAGCAAGCTGACACTTAGGAAGACTGTAAGGATATGTTATAATTTCCTAGAGGGGGTAAGAATAAGACGGCGTGCCGTAGCAGTTAGTGTACATCATGCAACTTCAGTGGAATGGTATAGCATTGTTGGGACGTCTGTTCTAAAGCATTAATAGCAGAAAGTAGCCAGCTAGGTGGACCTGGAGTTGAAGTTCAAATCGATGAAACGCTAATAAGTAAAATATAGTAGGCAGAAGCTAAGGCGACAGTACTGGGTAATGGGCATGTATGATATCTAAAAAAGAAAGCCGTTTTTGGGCAAGTGAGTAATCGCACGTGGTCAGCACTGAGAACGGTGATTATGAAGTGGGTGGCGAAAGGTAGTGTCATAGTGGAAGATGAGTGGAAAAGTTATATCCGTTTACCCAGAGTCGTATATAAGCACTACATGGTAAACCATAGCCGAAATTCTGTCGATTCAACGATGGGTGGACATACCAATGCAATAGAAGGCTTCTGGAGACGCCTGAAGAGAAAGCTGCAGGAAGGTGACCCGGTAACCGGTAGAGCGTCATGGGCGCATAAAGACGAAGTGCAAGACCGTCTTTGGTACAACGTAAGGGCAGATAACCTGCCGGATGCATGGGAGATCTTCGTGCGGCCCATAGCCGAGGCCTACCTAGTGAACCCCGCAAGTGCGGAGGAAAGGAACCGGGCGACGGCTGCCGAACAGGAGAACGCACGAGGGAACGTGCGCAGGCATATT